CTTTTTTCAAACCAAACGGCACCGCAGTATAGCAGAATAACCCCTGATTAGTGACGAATGCCGTCTTTTCTTGATCTTTCTTCCACAAGGGTATCTGATGGAAACCTGAATAGGCGTCTATGAAACTCATCAAGGCATGGTCGGTTGTACAATAGACCAAACTGTCAATCTTTGGTAGAGGATAAATGTCCTTGGGACATGCCTTGTTTAAATCTGTGTAGTCAACACATATGCGTCAGGTGCCATTCGGCTTCTTGACAAGAACAACATTGGCAACCCTATATGGGAAGTAACATTGGCGAATGAACCCAGCATCCAACAGCTTTTTTACTTCGGCGGCTACCGCCTGACTTCTTTCTTCACCATGGTTCCTTTTCTTTTGCCTAACCGACTTCATTTTAGGATCCACAGCAAGTTTATGAACAACAAGATTCGCACTTATGCCTGGCATCTCTTCTACTTCAAAGGCAGAAAGGTCTTTGAATTCTTTTAACAACTTGTGCAAATCTGCACCCAAGTTTGCTAAAGCAGCTGTCCCAACCTTAACAGTTCGCTCTGGCAGTGTGTCGTCCAGAGAAATATCAATGTGTTCACCAGCCGACTGGGGACGGAGCTCATCCGATCGTTCCTCGGTCAGTGAATGCTATTATTTTTCTTTTTTAATGGCCACCAACTGGTCGACCTTTCTCTTTTTGCCGACTGTTATTAGAGCAAGCGCAACATCCTTTATTTCATCAAGGTCTATTGGTTCATTGCCCTGGCCGGATGCGGCCACTGTAGGCTTGACATCCGAAAGGTAGCACTCTCTAGCCGTCTTTTGATCTCCGCTTAAGAAGCCAACATACCCATCATCCTTCTCTAACTTAAAGAGCATAAGGGATGGAATGATAAGAACTTTAAATTCATTTAGAGTGGGACGACCCAATATCAAGTTATAGGCCGTCAGCTCTTCAACGACCAAGAACCGGACTACCATGTGGCGTCCTTCTCCCTTCTCCCCTAGCCAGATGGGTAGATCTATTCGGCCTACCGGATGTACACCTCCACCCCCAAATCCAACTAAGGGGTAAGACACCTTGTGCATGCTGCCTGGCTTGTACTTTAATTTTGCCAGACACTTGTGGCTGATGAATGAGATCAAACAAACTGCCGGTGTCAATGAGGATTCAGCCTACCTTCTGGTTGGCCACTTTGCATTCGATGACAATGGGGTCATCATGCGGCCTCCTGACCTTTCCCCTATCTTTCTCAGTGATGATAACTTCAGGGAAAGTGTCCTTGGATGCCTGTCCCTCATCAACTGAGCTGACATCTAGCCGCCTGATGTAGTCCTTGGTACCCTGGATGGTTGGGCCGCCTCTAGAAAAGCCGCCTGCTATAGTATAGATCGGTTCTTCATTAGTGTCCGAACTATTACCAGGTTGAGGCTTCTTTTTGGACGACTGCCCATGGTAATTTGTAGAGTAACCTTGGACCTCAGAATATAAGAATTAAGCACCCCTTTGTCAGCCAGACGATCCAACAGCCGCTTGAGACTATAGCAGTCGTTAATGTCATGGTCAGTGTCCTCATGGAAATGACAATACTTGCTTTTGTTCCAATTTTTAGCGGAACCTTTCATTGTAGCCAACTTTTCAATGGTCACCCGGTCTTTGATCTCCATGAGGATGGAGTAACAATATTTGTTAAACTCATACTTGGGGGTGTAAGGTTTAGATTCTTTCTTTTTCTTCTAGGATGGCTGCTTAGAGCTGTCGGCCGCCTAGACTTCTTTTCTCTTTTTATTCTCTTCTTTCTTAGCCGGCTGTGATGGCCCACTCTCTTTTTTGTAAGACCTCTTTGAGTCTGACTGCTTACTAATGTTGCAAAGTTTGATCGCCTGTACATAGGCGTCCGCCTCCATCAGTGCCTCTTGGAGGGTAGCAACCCTCTTTTTGACGAGGTCGAACTTAAAAGCCGACCCGTCTTTTAGACCTATGAAAAAGTCTGTATAGGCCACTTCATCAGACAACCCTTGAATCTGAATTTTCATCATATTGAACCGCCTGATATATGACCGAAGCCCTTCCCTATCTCCTTGCTGAATGGCACCCAAGTCCAGACTTATTTTCTTAGCAGGGATGTTCATAGAGAAGTTGGACGCAAACAAGTACGCAAGCGTCTTGAAATTGTTGATGCATCCGGCTAGCAAGTTACCGAACCATTGTTGGGCGACGCCCTTTAATGTGGCCAGGAAGCATCGGCACCATGCGACATCATCCAGCCCTTGTAAATACATAAGGTTGTTGTAAGTCATAAGGTGATCTTCCGGATTGGTGGTACCATCATAGGTACCTATCAGAAAATTTTAAACCTTGGTCGGTTGTGCAGCCTCGGTTATTTCCTGGGAGAACGCAGAGGGTTGTTCCCCAAGCCTTAGCAGACGGAGCTGCCAGTCCAAAGGTTGGGCATTTTGTGTCGCATGCTCCCCGAAGAGGGTTGGTTGCATGTACTGTTGCCCATACGGCATGTATGGCTGGTGAGGCACATACGAGGCCGAATGGATCATTTGAGGGCCAGAGTGGATGGACAGGCCGCCTGACTGACCCTCTCGGTTCGATTGTGAATACCTCATTGAGGTATTTTGAAAGCTGTCTGGGTAAGTCGATGTTGAAGTCGACTCAGACAGTTGTTGATTTTTCTTATGCTTGATTAACAACCGGGCATCAGAATACATCTTTTTTGAACCATTTGCCTGAACATGCCGGATGGCCTTCCTCTTCTCTATCTCAAGGAAGCGGATCTTAGTAAAGTCAATCAAGGGTTGGTTCTCCTCCTTTGATTTAGGATGGGGAGTAGGCACTCGGTCCTTGACTAATTTCTTCTTCTTTGAGGAAGAAGGTTTCTTGGCCGACTATCCCCTGCCGGAGATAACCGTCTGCTTGTTGATCAAGTCTTTAATTTCCCCTTTGACGCTGGTCGTAAATTCCATGAGCTCATTTCTGGTAACTGGAGCTGCGCCTTCGGCCTCCTGGTTTTGTCCAGTCGGCTGTACAGTTGGATCACTTGGACCAGCTTGATCATTGCCCCGTTCCTTTATTTCTAAGGGACGGGTGCGCTTGGTTCTGAGTGAACCATCAGCAGCTACATAGGAGTCGACGTTAAAGTCGTCACCGCTGTCTTGGTCTGAGTAAACCTGGACTTCTGCTGAGGGCCGCTTATCATTAGAAGACGGTATAGACTCACATGAAGCCATCTCAGAAATACTCTCCCAACAGACGGCGCCAAATGTTTCGGGGTTTTCTGTGTCCTTCGAGAGAGTTACAATTCCAAGACTGGATTCCGGGCGCCTGTACTTGCAAAACAACGGAGACTCCGGTTGGTGGGAGTTTCGCCTCCGGCGATCAAGTTAGAACGTCTTCGGATGTAAAAAGCGCGGAATGTAAATGGGATCAGGTTCCTCTTAGGAGAGAAATGATCATCCGGCTATAGCAAACAACCTCAATATCCGAGTGTAAACTCTCAAGTGTGCTTAATTCTGCAATTAATGCTCTCACTAAATGTTTGTGAATGTCGTTCCCCATGTGGGAACATCTCCCTTTATAGGGTCTCCAAGTACGTGCGCAGTCTTAGGTTACGGAAACCTAGGACTGATTGGGCTGCCTAGGAGTTTGGGCCTTAAAGGCAGCCATTCCTAATTGGATATTTGTCTGCCACGTGTCGTGCCTTGATTGGTCCACTTTGGACACTTCACTGAGTGACACATGGCGGACTCTGGTTGGTCCACGTGGAGGTCTTGATTGGTCCACGTAGCGGGGTAAATATCCCCTAATCAATAGTCATGAGTGATCTTGTTAGATTGTCACGATTTACTCCCTCTTTTTTTTTGAATGCATCACTTTGACCAACACATTTGCCAAGATGCAACTTTGACCTCTAATATCTCTAATTTTCGAAATGTAAAAAATTATAAAAAAAATTATATTACAAAAATATAGATTGTGGCTGATATAATAATATATTATACATTAACACTTATTTATATTATAAAAGTGAAAAAAAAGGCCAAAGATGGTATGTGAATATTGCAAAAGTCAAAGTGATGTATTTAAAAAAAACGCAGAGAGTATAATTTTAAAATATCAACTTCTTATATATATTTTGTGTATCAAATATCATTTCCACACACCAAATTGTGTATCAATTATATGCAAGATTACTTTGGGAATTTTTTTATTTTAGAAAAATTAAATCCAATCAAACTTGAATTTGACTTTTTTTGTGTGATCTATTATAATGGATGCTTTTAAAATTTGAGAATCTTTTTTTTAGGTAATGAAATAGGAGAATTGACTACCCTTAATTTAAGGGTTTTAAACTATATCTCTATGATTTTTCTCTTCATAGTTGAATACGACGGACATAAAAAGTCACATATCAGTTTTCTACCGAGAAGAAATACAATGAATGTAATTTTCTTTTTCAAAAGTAAAAGGGTCATGACAAAAATGATAGGTATCGACCCGACCCGCCCTGCCCAACTTAAATTTTAATGTGACCCGCCCTTACCTTGTGTCCTTGACCCTTTAAGAATTGAGTCACCCCGCCCCTCACTCGACCCATTGAACAAGTTTATTGACAATCAGTTATTTATCAAACACTTTTATACAATCAGCAAATAAATAAGTTAGTCAAATTAGTTAATACAATCAGCTAATCAAAATTAGGTAACACAATCAATTTCAGTTTTCAGCTTTTCATCAAACACGGCCAATATCCATTAAAGTAGCTTGTACTCCGTATTATTATGTACTGTGTTTCGATCTATTGTAAGTTTGCAATACTGGTCTTATTCGTTCATTTTTCATTTTACTGAATCTTTTAGACTTATACTTCAATTGAGTGGTGTAAATCCTAACCACACATAATGTATACATCCGAAGTAGGTTTTGTTATTTTTAACAAAAAATAGATTCAGGTACTTTAAAAAAATACGAATGGAGTATTGTTTGTTTGTTTGAAGTAGAGAAGGGTACAAAAGTTAATATAAACCACCAAAAATCGAACCCACATACTCAAATGATAGGGATGTAGGGATTAAGGTAGCTCACATCCAAAAACGAGTCAAGCATAAAACAATCAGCAACTTTATAATTGTTCTATCTTTCCATTTGTATTCACAAATCTCTCCTACTCTTACTCTTCCTGTTTCCTCATTTTTCTACCTCCTTCATCTCTCTGTTTTACTCTGCTTTGATTTGGATTCTCATAAATAGTAACTTTCTCTGAAAAAGAATCACAACAAAAATAAATGGGGCTCTTAGACCATGTCTTAGACTTTTGTGACGATGTTACCTTCCCCAAGCGTAAGAAACGTAAACCAATGCAGGTAATCCTTTGTTTTCGCCTCGATTTTTACTTTCCTAAGTATGTCTTGGACATCGTTACAATGGTATACTAAAAGTTTAGTACAACACTAAGCTATTGTCTCCGTTTAGTTACCCCTTTGTTTTTCAACTTAATTTCATCTTCCTTAAGTTACAACAGTGGATGAGATTTGAACACATGAACTTCTTGCCACACTAGCTCGAGTATTAAGATTGGTTCTATATTCTATCAGTATGTTTAGTGTAAAGGTAACATAGCAAAGCAATGATATGCATATTGACAACGACAATTGTGCTAACTACTAAGTTTTTTCTCTTTGTTTTCAGCTCGATTTTACCATCCTATGTTTTGTGTAAGATGTCGTAGCTTTGGTATGATGATCGTCATAACATCGATTGCTTTAACTAAACTCTAGTCTCTGTTCATTAACAGACAGTTGAGATCAAGGTGAAAATGGACTGTGATGGTTGTGAAAGAAGAGTCAGAAACGCTGTCACCAAAATCAAAGGTACTCCGTAACACTTTTCTTACCATTGTTTTCGTATAAAAATGTCAAAATATATGGTACTCATAATCAAGCTACAAATAAATTTAGTTGTAGCTTGATCATAGCTACTAATAACTCGAAAAGATTGTGGGTTTTCTTTTTCATAATCAAAGATAGTAAGATCAATGAATTTCTTATAGGGAAAATTTAAGCGTTTGGTAAGCTTTTGTACGTCTTTTCTACAAGAAAATTTTACTTATAATAGAAAGGAAGCAAAGATGTTTTGGTTAGATTTTAGTGCTATTCAATACAAATATATGAAGCACTCCATATAATCAAATTTGAACTAAAAAAGGAAAGAAAAAAAAAGGAGTTGAGAGTCTTGAGACAATGAAATTCTACAATCCCATGTCTAATGAGCACAAACTTGGTGGTTTAATTAGGGGATTGCATATTGCCTTTGGTTTTCAAACTTTGTGCTCTTTACAGTGCGATTGTTAAAATCAATTAAATTTAATAATTTTAAAGAACAGATATAAATGTGAATCAATAATCATAGAGCCTAAGTGAGTGTGTAAATAATATAAGGTATGAGAAGTAAAATGGAGTTTTTAAAAAATATTTTAAAAAAATTAAATCATTAAATTAAGTAATTGTAACTTGATGAGGTTTTTGAAATGGCTTAAGATGAAAAGATAGTCGAACTTTGGGAACAAAAGGAGCTGAGGTACTTCCTTTGTTTAAGTTTTTAAGATTGATGGTTGTCAATTCTTAACTTAAATCGTATATAATTATATATTTACCTATCAACAAGTGAAATTTCTAAAAAATCAAAAATTGAAAATATATATTAAGAAAACTCTAACATGATCACATATACAATTGTATTTTCCTATAAATATAAGTTATTAAAGATAACCAAAATAACGTATTTGAGTAATGTAAAAAGGTTAAAAAGAGTTACAACCAAAAAAAAAAGGGAGGAAGTACTTCGTAAGTAAGAAAGAACAATTTTTTGAGAGAACTATATGACCAATTTTGGTGTTCTGCACTAAAGTCTACTAAAGAGAGAATACGAGAGTCGAGTACTAGTATTTTCTAGTAGGGTATAAAAGGTTTATACTTCTTTAACTTGTAAAATGCTAAGGTTCAAATCTTAGCCTCTTAGACGATAACCAAAAGTTTCTAACAGGACAATAGTGATGAATATTTGTTACATTGTTCATCAACATGGCTGACTTGTGTCATTATTAAAAATAACTAATCCAACAAAAAGTCAATAAAAAAAGTTTAATATTGCTGTAATTAGTTAATGTATACTTCTTAGGGTAAATATTAACCTAGCACCATGCATAAATCCACAATCCATATACCGGTTATTTTGATATAAAAATTTCTCTGTAGAAGCATTGATTCCATTTTCTATGTTTTGGTGTGCATTATATTATTTGCATTTGTCATTGAGATCATACGAATGTGTGCTTGAACTAAAACTTAGTTATATTATCGTGTGAATAGACAAAAATAACCCATGAGAATGAATGTAAAGTCCTAGCTCGATGTTGGATCAAGCCAACATCCACTTTATTCCTTTAGTTCAATTATTAGATGTTTGCTAGTCGATGGACTAATAATGTGCGCGTTTATGTTGATACAAAAGGTGTGAAATCGGTAGATGTGAACCGTAAGCAGAGCAAAGTATCTGTAACTGGAAACGTGGAGCCAAAGAAGGTACTTAAGAAAGTGAAGAACACAGGAAAGAGAGCGGAGTTTTGGCCATATGTACCATATAATTTGGTATCGTACCCTTATGCTCCTCAAGCTTATGATAAGAAAGCACCTACCGGCTATGTTAAGAATGCACCTCAAGCATTTGCTACTCCTGGTGATCTTGACGACAGATACACTTGGATGTTTAGTGATGAAAATCCTAATGCTTGTTCAATTATGTAATTAGTTATATATAATTAGTGATCGAACTATAATTGTAAGATTTTGATACTTGCTAGCTTAGATTTACATATATCATGGTATGTAAAGATAGCATGTTCCAAAAGAGTGCGGGGTAAGATCTATGCAACGTTTAATTAAGTGTATTTGAATGTATTTAGATAATAGTGCTATTTAGAATTATGTATTTATTATGACAACATACTTGCTTTTTTTATACGGTTATAAAGGATTTTTTAACGTAAATAGACTAACCTTTGGCCGGTTCTTCCAAAATGGACAAACCTATAAATGTGCCCATATTGGACAGAAGTTTGCCATTTTTCGCCCATAATGGACCATGTAGGTCACCTTACCTGTTATAACAGGTAAAAGTCCACTTGTCATTAAATCATTAGTCAAGTTTTTTTTTTTTTTTTAATTTCCCTTTCCTCCTTATCCCTTTTCCCTTTCCCTTTCCCTTTCCTTCCTCCTTCCATTAATTTCGACCAAGCTGCCACCCTCTCCACCACCATACCCTCACCTACGACCAGTCACCCCACCCACAACCAGCCACCCCCAACCTTCAATGGCAACTCCACCATGATCACCACCGGACCTCAACCCGAAACCCCAACCCCACCATACCTCCTCCTCAAGCTCCCAACCATACCCCCTCTCACCTAACATGAAACCCCCTAAACCCCTAAAATCGACCACCTTGAAACCCTAGACTACCCCACAAAACCTCTCTGAACCCGACCACCCGGCCACCGTGAAACCCCCTAAACTCAAAACCCAGCCACCCACAAAATCCTCCCCCTGTTGTGTTTCCCCTCTCGCGTCACCCTTTTTTTCGTAGCCTGAAATTTGCTGATGAAATTGAGTGAATTGCTGCTAAAATTGATACTTTTGGTGTTGATTTGGGCTGCTATTTTGGTGCGTATTTGGTGGTGTTCGGTTTGGTTATTGTCACGTGATGGTGGCGAGTAGGGGATTGACATGGTTGGCGGGGCAGGTGGCTGGGGACAGAGGAGGTAGTTGAGGTGTATGGTGGCTAGTTTCAGGTGGTGGATTTTTGTTGGTTTCGGGTGGTGTATTTTCAAGGGCTAGTGGTTGGTTTTGGGTGTTGAATTTTCAGGGGGTGTGCTGGTTTTGTGGTGGTGCTTGGTTTCGTTTGAACGTGGGTATGGTGGTTTGAGTGGTGGGTATTTTCGGGGGTGGTGAGGGTCAGCTTAGGTTGAAATCTTTTTTTTTTTAATTTTTTTTTTTATTTTATTAACTTGTATAACCGGTTACCTGTAAACTCATTCCATTTTGGGCGAAAAATGGCAAACTTCTGTCCAATATGGGCAAATTTATAGGTTTATCCATTTTGAGAGAACCGGCCAAAGGTTAGTCTATTACATTAAAAAATCCCGGTTATAAATCTTACAATTACATAACTTTGTATAAATCTCATCTAAATTATTTGTCCTTTTTTTATAGAGTATAAACCAATACCATTGTAAGACTATAATCATCAATTAACCTTTTAGTTAAATTGATCATCTGACATACATGATAACAAAAGTCAACGTGAATGACAAGAAAATCACAAGTTCAAATCTCATCTTAAGTTTAGGGGGAAAAAAAAAGTTATGATAAGAATTATTCAAGTTTAATTTACAACTAAAATAAGTTTTAATAAGGTCTAGTAAGTTTTATTAAATTTAGATAAGAATAAAAAAATTAAATAAATTTAAAGAAAAAAAATTAGGTGAATAGAACACACCTTTAATTTGTTATTATTTAGCTGCCTAGCCTATTTTATAAAAATTTAAAGTTTTAGAGTATTTGCATTTGATAGGTTAGTTTCTCAGCACATCTAATCATCTCATACAACAAATTTTAAAACTCTAGAAAATGGAAAGTTAAGAACATTACTTGTTTACCTGATTCAAAATTTAGGTATTAAATCTTCAACACGTCAATCATGCATTCATACACAATAATCGTTATTAGTTTTGTGTTTTTTTTTTTTTTTTTTTTTTTTTTACGGTAAAATACTTCGTAAATAATTGGAGCTAATGTAATAATTTTGAACAATAATTCATGTTATGACTTATCCTCTTCACTTAAAAAAATACTTTTCATAAAATATATTGATAAACGATTTAGATAAATCTTAATTAGAAATAAATAAATAAATAAATAAATAAATAAATAAATAAATTGACCGACAAATTAATTTATATCAATTAAATAATTTAAATTCTGAAATAATCTTATTAAAAACACTTGTTTAATTGTGTCTTCTTACCTATAGATATCACATTAATTACGTCTTCAGCTTCATTGTTTATTAACCTTAGGTATTACAATATTACATCTTTGTCTACTAAACTATCCAAGTTGATAAATTTCTATGTTATCGTAACATTATTGTAGAAATGAGAAAGTAAACACATACGTAGAAGTTTAATAATAAAATCAAAATTATTGTCATAAGAAAACTCTTCTCCTTGATTTGAGTCGTGGTAAGAAAATAAGATGTCCACTTGTATTACTTGAACCTCAAGTAAAAGGTTTATAAACAAAAAAATACCGAGAGTAGAGATGTAGATTACCACCGTGTCAAAGTGTTATTTGTGTCGTCTCTTTCAATTTGATCTTTATAATTCAATCTGTTTATCAGCCGTCAAAAAATGTTTGTGTTTATCAGCAATCAATTAGCAATAATTTGGGAAGGGATGATGAATCTACGCCCCCAAAATCACGTTTCTTGCTATTTAAGAGTAGTATATATATTAATTAATTAACCTCATCGATCTCTATCTCGAGTTAATAGTTGCATATATTTTTCGGCTTTTATTATTGTAATGTTTTGAATTTTACATTATAGTGCTACAAACGTTACAATTAATTATTTGAGAGCTTTTTTCATGTATGATTTTATTACTCCATAGTAATAAAAAATATTAATAGTTGAAAATATTATAATAGATACAAGAAAGATTAACAAAATCAAGTCAACAAATTAAAATAACAAGAACATAAATCTTAGTGTTTATCGCAAAAACTAACCAATAATTAGGAAGGAATAATGAATCCACACCCCAAATCACATAAAAAAAATTAATTAACTTTATTGCTGCCTCGAATTAATTGTCACGTATACTTTAATCCTTTCAAATTTTTCTAATTGCTACATGTTAAAGTTCATACTATTACAAATACTTGATTATCTATAATCTCAGACGAAAGAGTATAATTTATGGAGTTTTTCCACAACAATTTCTGTGAAGCCAAGTCGATGCAGGATTGGTAGCCACAAAATAGGCTGAATTATATACGTTTACAGTGAAATAAGCAAGTAGTAATATTCTTTCTTCATCTTATTATTTTACTTTATTTGGGTATATATCCAAAAAGATAGAAGAATAATATTTTTGAGACCACCAAGCTTTTTTCTACCATCTTCAGCCAGCCAAAAATAACTTTTCTGAACTAGCTTTACTTAATCGGATTCCAAAAAGAAGCTTTAAACCAAGGTGAAGCTTCGACCACTTTTGCTTATCCTCCAAATTAAATTGATTGTCTAGTGGATTATGTACTTGTTTGTTTATAAAAAATAAAAATGAAAAACAAGGCGAACAAAATATACGAAGTATTATGACTTTGCAAAAATTCTACACTTGTATTGTCCAGTGTAAAATCCTTGTACAAATATTATATAATAGATCAGAATTATGTGTTAAACATGACTATGAGTAGAGCTGGGCATGGGACGTGCCGGCCCGCGGGCTACACGAGCCCGGCACGGCACGGTGACTGAAGAGTGGGCCGTGAACAAGATTTCGAATTATAGGCACGAGCACGACACGAGCACACCGGGCGGCACGGTTGTTTGGCCCGCAGCACGGTTAGGCACAGCCCAGCACAGCAGGCGGCCCGCTTGGCCCGGCACGGCACGGCCCGTACAAAACGTCTACTTTAACATCTCTATCTCAAGTTCTCAACGGCTATTTGCCTATTCCCAACAGCTCTTTTGCAACAGATATTTTTACCCTCTATCTAATGGCTACTTCATCAACTTCTCCATAAATACTTCATTTCATCTTCCATTTTTTTTCACAATTCATCAACTCTCTTATTCTCAAATCTTTTATTCTCTAATTCTCAAATCTCTAATAATTCTCTAATTTCCTACTCTCTTATAATCTCTATTCTCAAAAAAAAAAAAATCACATATACTCTTTAATTCTCTCAATTATAAAAATTAATAAAAAAATTATAAATTCGGGAAATTAATTAGTGGAAAGCAATCGAAGCGTCGTTGTAAGATCTAACTCAACTTTATTATTATTATTATTATTATTATTATTATTATTATATATTAATTTATTATTATTGTTATTGTCACTATAATTATTGTTACTATTGCTGTTATTATTATTGTTATTGTTATTATTATTTGTATTATTATTATTGTTGTTGTTATTATTATTAATCATGGCATCAAACCCGAACCCTTCCTCCTCCTCTAGGAAAGCCAAGTCAAAACGTGCCCACTCCACCCAAATGCCAACACCCAAATTCCCTCCCCTAACATGTCCATTCCGAACACTTTCACCCCTTTCTTCTATCCACAAACCATGGGAGGATTCGAACAATTTGACAATGTCTCCTTGGAATACGTCTAGTTTGGGATCTCAACAAAACCAATTCTCACCTCATTTATACGGCTCACAACATGAATTTTCTTATCATATTAGCCAAGGTAGTCAAACAAATGCCGCCGGGTCTAGTGAACAATCCACCCAAATGCCAAACACCCAAATTCCAAACACATTAGACCAATGGTGTACCGAAGAGGAATTTTCCGCTACCAAACGAAAGAGTAATATTTGGAATCATTGTTTCTTAAGTAGAGATGGAACCAAAGTCAAGTGTAAGACATGTAACAAAATTTACTCGGTCGAAACCAAGGGAGGGACGGGACACCTAAGTAGAAATGTCCGCACATATGGTGAACCATCTAGTGATCCAACTCAACCCAAAATTTCTCAATTCCATTCACATGGCTTCACTTACAATTATGAGAGATATAGGGATGAACTTCGGAGAATGTTAGTACATGCCGAACAACCTTTTCTTTTCGCCGAAAATGATCCCTTCAACAATTACATTAACCGAGCACTACAACCCCAACACAAAAAAATCTCTAGAAAAACTGCCCGTTCGGCTGCCATGAAATCTTTTCAAGAGTACAAATTGAAGTTATATGACGAATTAAGTAATCTTACTTGTAGAGTTTCTTTGACCGCGGATGCATGGGATAGTGGTTACGGATATCACTATTTGTGTGTGACTTGTCATTGGTTGGATAATGATTGGTTATTACAAAAACGCATTATCCATTTTAAAATGCTTGAATACCCCTATACCGGTCTTAATATTTTTCATCATTTAATGCAAGCTATTGATGCATATAATCTTAAGCCTAGAATCATGTCTATGACTTTTGATAATGCAACTTCTATGACGTTTAGTGCAAATTCAATTAAAGCACATTTGACCGATATAATATTAGATGGAGATTCACTTTATAGTAGATGCATTTGTCATGTTCTTAACTTGTGTGTGAAGGATGGAACACAAGCAATTGGTCCATTTTATCACAAAATTAGAAATGCTATTATGTCTATTGACAGCTCTAACATGAGATTTCAGGAATGGAAAGCTTTTTGTAGGCAACAAAGGATAAAGGCTATTAAAATCAAGACGAATTGTGCAAGTAGGTGGAACTTCACCTATGAAATGTTGAGTATGGCAATCGAGTACAAGGGTCCATTAACAATTTTTTATAATAAAAAATTTCCACAATTTGCTTTACTAGATGATTATTGGTTTAATTGTGAAAAATATATACATTATTATATAGTATGACACATTATTTTTCTTCTGTTTATAATCCTTGTGCTCATTCTTTTCTTAGCAATGCATGTTTACTTGCACAACTTTTCGATGAACACCGATTACAACACGATTATGATGGATATCTTCCATCAATGGAGGAAAAATGGTGTAAATATTACACTACTACTCCTATGATTTATATTTTTGCTTATATATTAGATCCAAGGAAAAAGTATGATGGCAAAATTTTATTAATTGATATTTATTTTCAATGCATGAATTTTGAAGATGATGTTGAATCTTATAAAACTAATGTGACCAATCAATTTTTTGTCTTATATAGAGTTTATGAATCTAAATATGGAACCGTGTCTCGATTTTCTCCTTCTCAATCATCCAAAAATGTAAGCAAAAGGGCCAAAGGTTTATTTGCACAAGCTGCTAACATGATGTCTAAGTTTTCAGGTAGTGAATCATCATCTAGGAGAACACAAGCGATGTTCGAAGTTGCAAATGTACTTAAGTTACCACTTCATGAAAGGCATGGAAGACGAAGAGAAGTACGGCCTCGACCTCCTTGACTGGTGGAAAACACAAAGCACGAAACATCCAATTTTGGCGGCAATGGCTCGTGATATTTTTGCTATCCAAGTCTCCTCCGTTGCCTCCGAAAGAACTTTTAGTGCATCAAGAAGGGTTTTAGAAGATAGAAGAACAAGTCTAAAACCCGAAACACTTGTAATGTGTGTTTGTTTCAAGGATTGGTTGGATGCCGAAACTTGCTCCTAAGATCGTACTTATGCATCAAACGACGACAGTGAAGGAACATCGGGTTCTACTAGTTCTCAATCAATTCAATTGGCTGATTAACTTGAACAAGAAGAAGACGAAGACGAAGAAGAACAAGAAGAATAATTAGATTACATACTATTAATTAGACCACTTCCAATGGTGAGCAAAAAAAAATGCTTGCCCACTATCTTTCTACCCACTTTCTCTCTCAATAAATTAGTTTTGCCCATGGGCAATTTTTTTTCACAATTTCTCTTCCAATGGTGAGCAAAAAAATGCTTGCCCACCACTCTCTCTCTTTTACTTTTTCAATACCCCACCATTACTTTCTCTCTCCTACACAACACTTCTTTATTTATTAATTTCATTTATATTTTAACAATATTACTCCAAATAAATAAAAACAAGTCTAAATTTGTGTAACTTATTTTTTTTATTTGTGTCGTTTTATCGTTAAAATTTGTTGTTAAATTATGTACGTTAGATGAAATAATTGTAAAAAAACTCTCAAAATTTCGTAAATGTTTTTATTTATTTTAAAAAGCGGTACAGTATTAGAAACCAATTATACATTTGCAACGTCATGCGTAATTAAAATTAGGGAATAAAATAAACAAAATAATTAAAAAATTACCCGATGGCGTACGGAAAAGTAGGTAGGCCATAGTACTTGGCCTTATTTAAGTCGTGCTAATTTTTCCCTAATTACTTGGCCCGTATTGTAACCAAATATGTTCGACTAAATCATGTTTCAGAGATAGATGAATTTCTCTATAACGGAGGGAAGCTTTTCATTGTAGAAATGAGTTAAAGTCAAAGTTGGTAGGTCGGCCTACGTTGAATTCAAACAATGGCGTTGTAGACGTTGATGCTGGTGTTAATTCTTGTTGATCTGCTTCGTAGAAGCTTCTTAGAACTTCGCCTCGAGTGTAGTTGTGGCGCTCATCTTCAACAATAATCATGTTGTGCATAATGATACATTCTTTCATTATGTCCCGCAGTATGTCCTCATCGTACGCCAGTGACGGTTTTCGTATTATTGCAAATCGAGCTTGCAAAACACCGAAAGCTCTTTCAACGTCCTTCCGAGCAGCAGCCTGGTGGTCAGCGAACATTTTATCCTTCTGAAGTTGAGGGTATGTGATGCCCTGAATAAAAGTTGCCCACTTCGGATAAATGTCGTCGGCTAAGTAATAAGCCATGTTGTATTCATGGCCGTTAACTGTAAAGTTTACCGGAGGAACTCGACCATGCAGAACCTCATCGAACACTGGTGAACGGTACAACACATTAAGATCATTATAAGATCCGGGAATACCAAAGAAGGAATGCCATATCCATAAATCCTGATCCGCAACGGCTTCCAGTATTAGCGTTGCTTTCTTGTTCCTACCGGCGTACTGCGCTTTCCAAGCCGTTGGACAGTTCTTCCATTCCCAATGCATGCAATCAATGCTGCCTATCATGCTTGGAAAACCACGCAGTTCATTTTGATGCAGTATCCGGGCCAAATCATCAGTTGTAGGGTTTCGCAGGTACTCGGTTCTGAACTGATCAATGACCCCGGCACAAAAACATTGAAGGGCAACTCGAGCGGTTGACTGACTGATTCGAACGTATTCATCCACGGTGTCTGCAGCCATGCCGTAGGCTAACATTCTTTTTGCGGCTGTACATTTTTGCAGAGGTGATAAGCCTAACCTTCCAGCTGCATCCCTACGCTGTTGGAAGTAAACATCAGCTTACAAAGGTCGTTGCATATGAAATCTTCTTCTAAATTGGGTGGTGTTGTACACAGGATTATCGGAAAAATAATCATTAAACAACCTGGCATGTCCCATTTCCCTATCTCTTCTATTCGCACCCCCTTTGGGTGTTTTTGTAGTGGGTTGGGATTGTGTTTGGGGCATGAGAAAAGATGGGGGTTGGTATGTGAAGAGTTCATCAACGAGTTGATCATATTCTTCAGTATTTGAAGAAGATGAACTTGAACTTGAACTTGATGATGGTCTGGAATACATCTTGTATGAGTAATGTAAGTTTCTGAATTGGTGTGGTTGTGGCTATGTGCCATGCCTACTATATATAGCAAATATATCAAATGAATATGTGGTTACAAATCTGAATGACCATACCAACTGAAGGAATCAAATTTTCAGCCACGGAATAAGTATACTATGCTAGTTGACAATGACAAATCTTGAGAGAAATTATGTCGGTATCAATAGGCAAAAGTTAAAGCTTTTTGACAAAGTGAAATAAGAAAAATGAGACTACACAATGACAAAAAGTGATTGCAACTATGTCAGTATCAATCACCAAAAGTTAAAGCATGCTGACAAAGTTTACAAATAGTGAATGCAATTATGTCGGTAACAATGATAATTGAAATCAACTTGTTAAACAACTTGTCATTCAATATTGGAAAATCTGAATACAAGTTTATATCTGACATTGAAATTAAACACACCACTAATACAAGTTAAAAATAAAAGACTACATTGCGCATAATTAAAAACTTAACTAATACAATCGTAGGCCTACTACAACCAAACATGCTTAAAAGCCTTGTAATTTACCCAGTAAAAAAATTCTTGTACGCCTCTTCTACAAGAGTGAGTGGCGTAGGCGAATTCTTCAGAGTTTGCAGCATATCAAACATGGTTTTCATCTTATAAATGTCAAGTTCCTCCCGTTTCCTCTGTTCCTTATCCTTTTCAATTTTGATCCTCTCTTCCTTCAGAATGGCCTCCCTTTTGCGAATTGTAGCGAATTCCTTCATTCATACGCTAAGGTCAGACGAACCACTTTCTGTAGCTATTGCTTTCCCTTTACGATTGGCCTTTGCTTTCTTTACACCATCGAGTCGTTGTATTCCTCCAGATGAAAAACCATCCGTAGGAGTTTCATCCCCTACATCATCTCTGGACCTCTTCCCACTTCCAGCACTACCTTGCTCCTCAACATCACAAGCAGCTTTTCTTTCCTTCTTTAACAAGGACCATCTCAACTTTGGCCTCCACTTTGGATCTTTATTAAGCATTTCAGCTGCGTGAGGATAAGTGAAATTGCGACCTTGGGCGAGATGAAAAAGCTTCGACGCACTTTTTATACGGTCAGCTTCGTTGTAACCACTCCCTCCCTCCGGAAGTCTACCCGCTTCATCATAGCAAGATATCCACTGTAGTGTGTCTGCTGCCAACCTTCTCCAGTGTGACGTCAGACTCTTCATAGGTCTTGGCGGAAGTATATGCGGCTTCTCCGCATGAGCCATTTGATATGCTGCGTGTACATTGCGCCATAGGGAAGTTGCTTTCTGGCTCGTACCTTTAATAGCATCCTCGCTGATCTCCAAGTACAACCCAATCAGAGCTTCATCTTCCGCAATAGACCAAACACGAGTCGCTCGTGCAGCAACCTGGTTGGATTCCAGTCTAGGAACTGGTGGAGGATACTGCGGCATCTTTGGTACGTTTTCCTCTTCACTCACATCGAATTGTGTGTTGCTATCATGATCAGTTTCAGGTGTACGTTCTTCATTAACATGGTTTTGTAGGGGAAACTCAGTGGGTGTCTGATGCTGTGGAGGTGGTTGCAAAGACGTATTGCTCATTCTTTGCAAGAACAATTGAAACTCGGGATTAGTTACGAAATCATCACTAAAACCAGAAAATTGTTGACGGAAATTTGGGTTGTTTGGATCCATTATAAGATTCTGCATCACAAAACAAAAAATAAATATTTTTAAAAAGATTAATTTAAACAACAAATTACAATGACAACAAATCAAAAAAAAATAATCTAATACCACTTAATTTATTAAATATACAACATTCACGTTCAACAACATATAAACAAAACATATAACACATAATATAATGTAACGAAATTAACTACCTACACAAAAATAACATATAAAATATAATTTATCATAACAAATTACTTCACATATACAAAACAACAACCCAATTTCGAAAAAATTGGCAAATAAACTCAAATTAAATTAACTTCAAATTTATTAATGTATGAACAAAATATCAACAACTTTCTAATTTATATATATAATTGCAAGTACATTACATGAACTGCATTTTTTTATTTGCAAAAAAATCACATATATACTAATTTTAATAAATCACTGAATTTATAAAAAAAAATATCATATTTACCTGAATATCGGTGAGATACAACAAAAATCTTCTTTTAAAATTCTGGAATATTTAGAAAAATAAAGAATATGGAGGATTTATGGAATTTTTGGAATTATACCAAAATATACCAAAATATACCAAAATGCATGTCTATTTATAGAGAAAAAAAATTTATGACCGTTGGTAATTTTTTTTTTAATAAATATTTTTTTAGAAATTGAATTACAAAAAATATAACTGTTGCAACAGCTATATTTTTCTTATTGGTCAAGACCCTGCGCATGCCACGTGGCGCTCCCAATTGGATTACTGACTGACGCGCGTCAGTCAGTTTCTTTATTTTTTTTCAAAATTGCAGCTCAAAACGCTGCGTTTTGAGCAGCGTGCTTCTTCCGTCATTATTGAAACGCTGCGTTTCAATCACATGCCCACCCAAATTTTTTTAATGCTGGCAGCAACTTGTGGGGCCCACCTTAGCACTATTCATCTTCAAATTTGCCCAACTCTTGGACATTTTATCAAATGCTCATGGGCATTTCTTTTTTTGCCCATCATTGTAATTCATGAGCTTATTTTTGGCCCACCAAAATGCCCATGAGTATTTTTTTGCTCACCATTGTCATTGCTCTTATAGCTAATTTTTGTATTATCTTTCCCCGTATAATAAAATAAGCTATAAAGTTAAGTTATTCATCAATTATTGTACAATTTATATCATTATCAATTATTGTATTATCGATTTTTCGTACTGGCTTATAATAAAATAAGTTGTTCATCAATTCTTGTGTTATGGCACTAGTCAATTTTTTAATTATATGCATTCTTTTTTTTTGCTAAATAATAATAAAGATGTATAATAATTTTTAAAAAAAATTAATTATAATATATTAATAATAAAAATAACATAAATAGTAATAAAGAGTAAAAGGTGTATAATAATAAAAAGAACAATAATAATATATAATACAAAAAACAGAAACATAAATTAATAATTTTTATTTTTTTGAATGGAATTAATAAAATTATATAAATATACTCATTTTAAAAGTTGTTAAAAAAATATATATATCGCTTTAAAAAAAAATATCTGGGCGGCCCGGTGCCCGGCACGGTAAACATGTAGGCCGTGCCGTGTGCTGGGGTGTGCCAAACGATGGTCCGGCACGGCACGACCCACTAAGTTCTAGGTACGGCATTGCCCGACACGAGCCACCACAAGGCACGGCGAGGCACGGCCCGCGGTGGCCTGGCATGGTACGTTGCCCGCCTCTAACTATGAGCATGAGTTGGACCAGGAGAGAGATTGATCTAGTTCACAAGTTCAAGAAGGTTTTATCTTAGAGGTGATTGTTTGCAAGCTTGGGCGAAAAATGGGTGGAGCATGGAATGCTAACGTCTCGCGTTTTAAACAGCACTTGAACTTCAATTTTTCTCCAATGAGCTTAATGTAACAAAACCAAACTCTTTTTTGCCTAAAAAAAACCAAACTCTTTTTATGCGAGCTTCAGACCTTGTCCATAGTCCATACCCATCCTATTAAATGTATCGGATTTACCCGTGGGCTAATGGGCCTAAACTCTTCGTTAGGTTAGAGAGTTAGAGGCCAATATTTTTTCTTTATATCTTTATCTTTTTTAATACTAATTCATAACTAACCACTCGGTAACTAAAAAAAAAAAAACATGATGTCTATTTTTTTTTTTTTAAATACATCACTTTATTAGTATCTTTATACCATATTTTGTTATTTCTCCCTTTTTCCTAAAACCCCACCCAAAATATCTTATCATTTTTCTCTCTATAGTGGCCCTCACTTAAATGGTTAAGAAAACTACTCATTATACTTTTACCAAAATAAATTAATCATTCACTTGCCTCACTTGCACAATATAATATTAGATCAAATAAACTATCTTAAAACTCCTTGTCAATGCAAGTGATTCATTACAAAATTAAAAACGGAGGGAGTATTTATATATGTATATATTTTTTTTTTTCAAAACGAGTTGGCCATGATAGCCCGCGGTAAATATTGTCTTGTCCATGTTCGCCCATTTATATTAACGGGTCGGACCAGTCCATGAACATCTTTATTCCTTCCTAAAACGCACATTTTTGGCTAGTCTCCCGCTAGTCTTTCGTAATTGAACATTTAGTATATAAAAAATGAACATTTTGTGATTGAACATATTTTGAAGGGAACATTGAAACTGAAAATGAATATTTGAAAATTCGAAATGAACATTTCATCAAATAACAATGAACCAAATCGGAAAAAAAAAAATTTAAAAATAGAAATTAACATTGCAACATATAAAAATGAACATTTGTAATACAAGGGTAAAAGAAAAAGACACTTTGAAACCAAAAAACAATACTCCTTTTTTATAAATGCTACGCTTGCTTTATTTGGCCGCTTTTATTAAATGACACGCTTAGAAATTCCGTACCTTATAATAATATAATTTTATTTCCTCAAAAAAAAAAAAAAAAAAACAATTATTCATCAATGGTCCTCACTCTCTCTTACTTTATCATATCTCACTCCTTCAATGGTCCCCACTTCCTCTCACATCCCTTTACTTTTTCAATAAAGTAATAACATCATTATCTTTTCTTACAATTTTTATTATGTAATACTACCTAACCCCACTAACATCTTGTTATATTAAAGTCAATGAAACCTCCTAAAACTCCATGCATTCACAGCTATAGCATTTAAAAAAAATGGAGGGAGTATTATATAATTGAACTTATCAGTTATAAGTAAAATTGAACACTTGTGTTACTGCTTCTTCATCAACATTTTATTGAGGTTCGAGTATTACTTGTTCAACAATTTTTATTTTTGTTGTTGAGCTGCTTCAATTGTTGTCCCCGCTTTCTTGAATGTCTTTTGTTCAACAACTTTCTTTTTAGCCTCTTTATCTATATATTAAAGTTGTTTTTAATTAGGAACTCTTTATTTTTTTTTGTTGCTTTTTGAACTTATTTTAAATCACTCAAGGCCTTAACACTGTCCAGTAAAAAAAGGCCTTGGGACTGTAACAAATAACATTAAACAAGAAAAAGTATGAATGAACATATAATACAATAAATATGAACATTTTTATATATTTAAAGAGAAATAATATTTCATAGGAGACTGACTATATTAAAAATGAACATTTGTTTACAGAGTACTTGAATGAACAAAAAATATTGTTTCTTAGGGTAATACCTAGACACGTGGGCCAACGAGCTAGTGACACGTGTCCCCTAGGACAACGCTCAAAAGAGCCAACCAGGACATGACACGTAACACCAGCAGCATTAAGGAAAAAGCGGCCTTCAAGCCCAATTCCCGAGAGGCTGTAAAAACGGCGCAGCGGCCCATTTACCTAAGTTAAAATAACCTAAGAGGGAGTGCACTCCCACACACTATAAATATTGTTCATTTATGAACAGTAGGGAGCATTAAATATTCAGCAATTATTACACACTTATTACAATCCCTCAACAATCAAGGAATTTAATCTCGGCTTATGTTTTCCATTTATTACAGCCTCATTTCGATACTAACTTGACTGTTGGAGGCGAAACTCTGAACATCCAGATCTTTCATTGCCTTGCAGGTACAGCGCATTCGGTG